AAGAGCAGCCTAGGAAGAGTATGCTAACCTCATCAGCGAACTATGACTTGGTGATCGTGAATCGTACTTTCGGTAGGTTCAGTTCGAGTATTTTAACTTTTAATTTCGTAATTTTACCTTCAAGCTCACACGTTTAAATTTGTTACGGCTATTTGTACATTTTGGAAAGATGGAATTGAGGATTGTGATTGGTTTATTCTTCCGCTTCCGCTTCCGACTCCGACAATGCGGTTTTCACTAGATCGTAAGCGACGGAGTCATAGGCAGAATCGGTGTTCTGCTTCCGACTCCATCTGTTTGATTTTCACTAGATCGTATCGCTCCACGCTTCTGATTATGACTCCGACTACGTTGCAAGTGAAAACCAGCCTGTAGTAGCTGGGTTACGCTGGAACTCTCAGTGAAGCAGATGAGGATGCCAACTTAACAATACTTTGAATATCTTGTCAAGACATCACAAATTTACTTCGGGGAGAAGAAAAGCATAAATATAATACTGAGTGCAGCGTAGCTTAGTGGCAAAGAAGCTGGACTTGAAACCTGACAGTGTTAGGTCGGAGCCCTCAACCTTGTAAGTCAACTCATTGACTGCACTCTGAACTTTGCAGTCTGCACTCTTTTTGGCTTCTTTCTGCTTTGCATTTTGTCCTTAACTAATTTGTACGGAATGAATTAACCCAGTTTCCCTGCCGTGTCTTGTGCAACTCCAGCTAAGTCACTGCCAGGCACATTCTCAGGTGCTAATGAGACTGTGTGTGAGCTGTGAAACAAAGTTATTCTTTCCAGTGTACTGACATTGGCACTTTAGCTGTGTTGCAATTTTATCATGTTTTAGCTCTTTCAAAACATTGAAGAAATACCTGAATAATAGCTGTACTTAACAAAAGAAATTAAAAAAAAAGGGTCAAACAATAACTTGATAATGCTATAAATTATCCACCAGTTGTAGTTTCTGTTTTAGCTCACTTTTCTAAAAGCTTTTTTAGTGAACACAACACATTTATTTTATCTATGTTGAAATTTTACACCACTTGTTTTCTTGCTAACCGGGTTTCGTAAATTATGGAAAGAATCGCCTTCTTGAAATAAAATGCCCATATATCGATAACGATAATACAATAACAGAAGCTGTTGCCTCTGACAACTTCTACATCACAAAGAATGAGAAAGGAGAATATGAACCAAACAAAGAGCATTCATATTGGCACCAAGTTCAAGGTCAATTACACTTGGCTAATAGAAATCTAAGCTTTTTTTTTGTCTGGACTACAAAGGACACTCTGGTTCTGCATATAAAGAAAGATCCAGAATGCTCTGGGAGACTTTTGAAGTAAAAGGAATTATATGTGAAGCAGCTAATCCCTTGAATTGTGAATGACCTTCTATAATTAACAGTAACCTTTATTTAAAATCTCAGAGGTGGTAGTTTAAGCAAGAGATAAACACATGTATTTATAGACAGCATTAAATACAATATAGGATTATACTTTTATATTTCATATTGTACATTTATACTCTATTAAAACTTTCCATGACACAAACAAAAAAAATACAACATGATTTAAAATCAATAAATAGTAATGTTTTCATGAGTGTATTAGAAACCACAAAAAACTTAAATGAGTCACCTTTGCAGATGGAACATTTATGTTCACTAAAATGTCTTATGAAATTACATATTTTCTTACCAAAAACTATCATTCCATATCCAAAGTGTCTCTTATCTCTTTGATCAATGAGGATTCACCAATCCAGTACACAGTGAAAGAATTTTGTCCGAATAACATCGAAGATAAGCTGGGATGAAGTTGAGAATCTTAAAGTCCTTTAAACGGGCATTCACTCTGTCAACATGAATCCTACATCTTGCAATTGTTTTGGTCGATTTGATTTCGGATTCATGAAACTTCCAATTGTAAAGGAATGGGGGAATATTGACAGACACCCCAACAAGCATGACATCACGAATCAGAAACCCTTTGTCTGCAAGTGTTAAATCAACAGGTTTAAAATGGTTCAATACCCCTGAATTTTCAACAATGGCTTTATCTGATGTAGAACCAGGGAATGATTTGCTTACATGTGTAATTACTGCTTGGGGGCAACACCAATGAGGGTGTTAAGAGTTCATCCCTTCATTAAGCCAGGGGCAGCTATTTCCAAATCAGTACAATCAATGACCATCTTACAATTGCTAAATACTGAGAAAGATTCTGGCAATTTGATGTTCTGTTTTTCTCTTGAGATGGTACAGTGATTAGGCAATCTTCCCACAGTAGTTTATGGAATACATGTGTAAATGTTAC